GTACTCCAGCAAGTCGAAGTATGAGAAACTCAGCAAGGCACACAGTGGGAAGAAGGAGCGGGGAACCTCTAAGGAGTGAATGTTAGTGTGATATGTATGACAAGATGACATATTTAATAAAACTGTTGAGCTTATACAAAAAAAAATACGTAACATATCCATCCAGTCTTATATACAGTTAAAGCTTACGCAAATGCATTGCACCACATAACAAATGTTAATATTCTACCAGAATCCCATCACCCATCAGTATGTAGGTAGTACTGTTGAACAAAACTAGAGTGGTTTAACATGATTACCTGAACTGCTGCTAATGTCTTGTACCCCAAATCATCGTAACTTCATAAGCCAATTTAATTCACACCACTCTTAGGGCAATATGAGTTGTGAGCAGTGCTACCAACATAATCACAGCTTGGACTCCTCCTTGAGCAACGCAGACAGTTTCTGCGTCAGCATGATGTTCCCTGCTACCTTCAGTTTGCCCTGTATGAACGCTGCCTGCGGACTGAGCTTGCCTGATGCCTGCGCACAAACAAGTCACACTCTGAATGTGTGTTAAATTAACTGGCTTCACCCTCTGAAAACACAAACCTCAAATATAATTAATTTCAAGAGCTTGCACCAAAATTATAAAAATAACATCAGAGGCACTCCCTCGTCCAAGGAGTCCTACCGAATGTCCATAGATCGAGCTAACTGAAAAGTTGGGGACCCGTAAAGGGTACTGGAAAATGTACAAACACTGTTAAACCGGAAAAAGAAGAACATCAGAGGCAGTGGGACAAAAGTGACCAATTTTTAAACGCGGACCGTTCAGTTCCTGAAAGCAGTAGCCAAAAGCATTTACATCCTTGTACAACATATATTCTGGGAACAAAAGACTTCTTCTAGCATAATTTCCAATTTCTACATGCCAACAAACAAAGCCAAAAGTAAGACACCAAATTTGCCTGAGTAATAATGGATTCATTGCTCACAAAATATAGGTTTCCTCAACAGTTTCCCATTACCTCAGTGCACTCCAACATATTGCAGCAGGTATATCTGTGAGGACTTAATTCATACAGAATAGGCAGTGCTGCCCTTGTAAAACAATGAAGCTGACAACAGCTTAGAACAACTGTTCTCCTATATGTTGAATACTGACATGCAATAATATATTCTAACAATGGACAAACCAGATTCTGTATTTTGGTTACTTACAATCTGAACCATGTCATCATCGGCAAGTGTTAGCGTACAGTCAGGTTTACCAGCCTGTGGAGGTCCCTGGTACACGTTCGCTTTCTTCAAGTCCAAAGCTGTAAACAGACACCCTTATTACTCATAAATTTTACAGTAGTACCACAGCACTGGCTTTGAGGGACTGAAGGGAAACCACAACAAAACCCTGTCTCTCAAATGAGATACAATAAATGTTACCCTTCCAGCTATGGCTAGAACTACCAAGTGTTCTCTTTCCTCCATGTTTTCCTACTGCAGTAGTATGCTAGGACACAAAGCACTCACCTTATTTGGATTAGCTATCAGCAAGACCTGCGTTATAGCAGAAGGAGGAAGAAATGGTTTGTGGGCCGGCAGATCTGAACCAGATGGAGGCTGCAGTCGCAGTTTGCAAGTCTGGAATGGACAAACATTCCTTAAGCCTGGGACCCTCATAATGAAATTTGTTCATGAAACAGTGATCACTGCACTTATGATACCATATATACAAAGTGTAGACTTCAAAGTTAATACATTTTCCTCTTATATGTTCCTTTCATGTTAGGATGAAATAATACTGAAATTTCCATGTGGTCAGGATTTGAGATTTTTAAAGTGGTGAATCTGAAGATGTCTGTTTTATGGGTTGTAGCACCATGTAATCTGGTAGAAGTTTACCAAAATTCTGTCATGTCCTTCCCACTCCTGCTTACCAGGCTGTAGTATGCCCCTCACTCCCACTGGTAAGGCGGAACTATCTCTGACAAACTCTGAAAGCACAAGGAGCCCTTTCTCAATCATGTGCCGTTTGTAATATACAGTACAATACCTTTGGAACAACAGCCTGGAATAAGTAGTTTGAGATTGGCGAAGAATTCTTGCTGATTGTTGTAACAACAATGACAGAGACATCTGGCCTGGGGCTGTCCTTTCCAAAATTCAGGATAACTGTGATGCCACTCTTCTCATCAAGAACAGTGAGTGGTGGTAAAGAACCTGTGTTATTCAGAAAAGTTAGTGATAGTGTAAGAGCGCACAGGTCCTAAGTCACTGTTTCATATGAAGTGAACAAGGAAGTTACATTAAACTCTCTGACCATAAGAACTGTATTAATGATCCTTGTTCTTCTTCTGTGCATTGTATCAATTAAGCAGCCATGTTAAATGTGTTACAGTGTCATCATAGCTCAAAACGCACCAAAAATCAAGCAGGTGGTAATGAGGGAAGGTTCATATCAATTTTATCCACCACCTTTTCCAAAGTGCCAACATCACTTTTCAGATAAACTGAAATTGCCTTTAATTTGTTCCTCTCTGTCACATATTTTAGCTTTTGAAATTAGTATCTTGTGGTCAAAGAGCAAGATCCTGGTCTCTAATATAAAGCTTGATCCAATGTAGATTTTTCAACTCAATCCTCACCTGGTTCATAAATGTGGGGAATTCTAGGACTTCACCCAAGTACAGAACCCATTCATCCTCCCAAACCCAGATCTATTACCACTGACATTAAAGTGACTTCCAATGGTATAAGTGAAAGTTACTCTTGAAAAAGATGTTTATACCAAACAAGACAAAAGGTACAAATTATTTTCCTAAATGTTTCTTACAAAATGTATTGCAGATAAACGAGAGTTGTGTGTTCATGATACATGTTTTTTATCAAGTAATGAGACCCACTTTACATATTGATAATGAAAACCAACAATAACTTCATGCAATATGACATAACCCATTACAATAGTCTGCAAACTGATCTGAATGGTTTCACATAGCGGTAAATTGCACTGAAAATAACTTCCCTCTCCTAAGTTATAAACTGAATAACACAGACAAATAGCAAATTCAATAAATACACAAACAAAATAATCCCATGGAATAGAGTCCTTGAAAAACTGATGGTCACTCCAATGGTCAAAAAATTACCTACCTTCACAGAACTCAAAATTCCACTACCATGTTCACAGGAGCCTGCCACTGGACCCTATCTTGAACCAGATGAATCCAGTCCACATCATCACACCTTATTCTTTCAGATACATTTTAATTTTATCCTCCTATGACTAAGTCTCCAAAGTGGTCTCTTCCCTTCAGGTTTCCTCACTAAAATTCTGTATGCTACATCACTCTCATCACCCTACAGGTACATTTACACACTGGCAACAACAGGATTCATACAGAACATTCTGTTCTATAGAAGGTGCAGGCAGCACATTTACATTCAGGAACAATTTAGTTCTCAACACAGCAGCAGATGATGATCTCATGTTAGTGAGATTTGCTGGTTATATAATAATTTGTGAAGAGAATAAAGAAAGAAGGAAACATGCAGTGGACACAAATATTTTCATTGGAATGGAATACCCAATGCTCCTATCCGTGATTTCTAAATGAGCCGAGGACTATCGAGGTTTCGACAATTTTGCACGCACGTATCCACAAGAATTTTAAACTCTACTTCAAATGTTCATGATAACCATGAAGTTACAAGACACATATTTCTAGAAATGCTGTTTTTCTGGTAGAACAGCTCACTCTTACGATACAGCTGTCAACAAGAGATGAGTTGCACCTGCACAGGATTTCAAAGTAGATCCGACAGCCAATTGCTGGTACATAATGCTATTTTGTTTGCACTAAATCAAATGAAGGGAAGAAAGTAGATTTAGTAACATACAATTTTTTACTAAGAAGTGGTTACACTGCTTTGTCCATCCATTCATGCATACTGATGGCCAGTGACTCATGCAGAGTACGGACTCAGTAAAGAGTTCTTACAGGTGAGCTGCGTTGAAGTTCTGTATTTTTACTTCAATATGAATACGGTCCAGTCATCTCACACATATATACAGCTCGACCACAACGCATTTGCCAAATATTCTACGACAACCTTTATATCTTGTCGGATGGGACAGTACTGTTTACTTCTTCCATGATAGCAAATGCTTCTTGCACGTCATCAGATCTGTTCTCACAATTCGAGTGGCATGCGTAATTTTACGTAACTTATAAACTTACCTGGTCTGATATTTTCTAGTGGGACAGAAATGTCTGTGAGTGGCTTAACCTCAACTTTTCTTGCTGGAGAACGGACTGTACTTGTGCCCCCATTACTGACTGCAGCACTGCTAGAACTGGTCCCTGACACCTGCATCACAGCAACACTCCCTTGTACACATACTTGAGCAACGATATATTACGTGGGCAAGTTAACATGCACAATGTAGTCCTCCGGGTTATGTATGACACCATGTAGTCTCACAAATGGTCACCAAGGTTTTTCAGGTATATATCACTTCCATCTTCAGGGCATATCAAACCATTAGTACATCATAATCCACAAGACCACAATCCAGTTTTGCCACCAAAAAGATCCTCAAATTCCACCTTAATGAATAATGTGCATTCCATTTGATGAACGATCCTATCCTCTCATCATAACCAATTCATGGCACTTGCCTGTTTGTTTACTATTTCTGCTTCCGTTCCGTGCCTCGTTGCCGCTGACGGGGATGCCCCTGTCAGTTGACTGCTCTGCTCATTGATTGAACCTGGACCACTTGCTCCTGTTTCCACCCCAGCCACTTCTGATATATCTACCATGCAGTCATCAGATCCACTTCCATTCACTAGCGATGCTGAAAAACAATTTGATTAAAGACAGAAGGATAGATGGGAAATAAATCATGGTTTACTGCCCTCAAGACCTGGATATACCTCATACCAAATCACTCAACAATGAGATGCTGGTATCCATGAACAAGTCCACATGACGTTACACCCCAGGAGACCGACATCGAAATCTTCACTGCCATAAGAACTTCAAATCTCAAATACCACAGAGATTTGTCTACATAACAGTGATCACCAGGGGCAGTACAGTCTCATGCAAGACAGTAATGTACTGCAGAAAGTCACTAAGCAGGGATTCAAAAATGAATTCTCAAGAGACTTACTGACATACCATTAAGCAAGTCAGATGTAGCAGAGCTTCTGCCTAAACTACCACCTCCACTATCACTCCCTCCTCCTCCTCCTCTTCCAGGGCCACCAGTCATCTCATTACTTCCTGTCTTCACATCCTGACCAATGAGAAAGTCAAGATCCAAACTGGAAGCTACAATATTGTTACCACTGGGTGTCACACCCAATGACACAGGCAAACTGTGAGTGTCAGCCGAGGACTCATCCTGATTGCCTTCTGGAAGAGGTTTGCTCAGCAGGTTCATGGGAACTTTGACTGCAGGTCTGAAAGAAGAAGCATTAATCTGCCAACAACAAATTAAAAAAAATTTGTGACATTACAAACAGAATGTAGTCCATATTTTTGTTCCGGATACTGTAAATGTGGCATAAGAGATAAGACCAAATACATATTCTGTAAAAACAAGCACAGTAATTTTGTCTCCAATGTCTACTTCCTCCTGATGAATTCAGATGTCCTTATGTGCACCTTTTACTAAAATGGGGGGGGGAAACATACAGAACATTAAGTTTACCCCAATAACAACACGTGAATCAGAGGAAAGATCTTCAAGAAGATATCACATCAGTTTAAAGTAAGTTTACTTTGTTCTAGATTTGGAGGGGGGGAGTAAAGGGACCCCCACCATATTAGCAGTATCTCAAAGGATATAATTTCATGACTGCACTGCCAATAGGTATTTGAGAGATATCTGAACTTAAAATTTATTTGTTACATAAAAGAACCGTTCAGACCAGAAGCAATGAAGAGAGTGTAACTTAATAAAAGTGACATCACACATACTTGGCAAACTGTGAACCCAGTTTACAGGAAGTGGGTAAACTCTGTTTCAGAAGGGATTTTCCAAGTGCATCCAAATCTTCCAAAGCTTTCAGCTTACTGGGCTTTTCTGGTTCCCCTGCAATGGGAGATGTTTCCGCTGAAACATTAAAAGAAATTAATTTCTGCAGCTCAGTGTATGATTTCAATACTGACTGTGACTGTAATTAGATTATGTAAAACAGATATTCACTCACATTTACAACTATTCTGTTGAATGGTAACTGGCTGAAGAATAGAGGTTACTCCAATGGAAGATGCACTAGGAACAGGAGACTTTGAAGGGGCAAGTGACCCAAAAATGTCACCCAGGGTTTCTAAATCTGACTGCTTATCTCTGGTAGTGCCAATATTAGACAGACTAGGTGCTGAGTGCTTGGAAGCTGGGTCTAATCCTGAAAGGTCACAAACTATTACAAGCTAAATCTACACAAATTTCATCTGTCTTAATTTTTTGTACACTATGTACATGCAGAGTCAAATAAAGCATCATTCACTGTTCTATTCTTGATGGACTTTGTCAGAATCTGTTCCTCACTCCACAATGTTTAACAGTTTCGGGAAATAATCTCCATTTGCCCCATCTGCTAAGGTTACCAACATGTGATTTCTGATGGTGAAAATGTACTTTAGAACACACCATCAAGCAGATTATGGTAAAAGAGAACCAATACCTAAATCCATGAGTTGGTTGCTAAGAAGTTCAGCTGGTACTGGTGGTAACTTCTCTTCACTTGGTGTACTTAAATCCAGTAAGGATGTAGAACCTGATGTAACATTTGGCAGTGGAGGTCTTTTCCCCTGTACAATAATGGCTGTATATTTGTCAAACACCTGTCCTAATTCATCACTAGCACTCAGGACTTCATCTAGAAAACAAAAAGTTTGTTAGTACAATTATCAAACACAAAACCTAGTGTCTCACATTAAGGGAGATGAAGAATTTTGAAAACAGGGTGCTGAGCAGAATATTTGGATCTAGGAAGTGAAAGACGCAGCAGTAACAGCTTTCAATGACTTTAAATAAGCTAACACGTGTGGCTTATTCTGCATGACAAAATCCTAATGATAAATGTTCATAATAAAATGTTCCAGCAGTTATAAAACTTATACATATAATCATCTTCTGCAATAAACCTCAAAAACTATAATTTGAAACAGAATGGATGATGATGCTCCCTGCCAGCACAATGACAAATTACTTACCAGCTACAAGAGATGAAGTCTCAGACATGGACAACCGAATCTTTCAGTAATTATGAAACGGTGAACATCTAAATGATGGCAGAGCAGGTAACAGAACACAATGGGAGTAAAACAGAGACGTGCTGGAGGAAGGGGGTCATTAAACTGTGTCTGAAACAGAAACTACAGACACTCATGCATCAACACTACTATCAGTAAATCAAAGTTTATTTTCGTATCTCAATGAGTAACTTTTATGATGAGTTATGTAATTCCTATCATCTGATCCTGTTAACAAGGACAACAGGTTCAGGATAGGATGACTGGCGTTGGCTGCTACCAAGTTCTCTCAAATATCAAACCCATGACCACTGGGACTCAACTCCAACTTTGGGGAGAATCAGTTTAAAATCTAGAACCCTCAGTATGTATCAAATCTAAGGTAGCAACCCCTCCTACTTACAACCAATGTATGTAGACTGAATAGCACAACACCCAAACAATACAACACAATACACTACACAGTTATGTTAACTTTATGAAGTCCATCACAAGAAAGCCCTGTCCTTTAAAGATGTTCTTGAAGGGATCAATACCAGCAAACTTCTTATGAAGAAAAAATAACGTTACAAACACACAGTCCCCCTCTTAAATATATAATCAGGCACAGTTCCTTAAAAGCCTGTGATCTATTGTATTATTTGGATAAACACGCTCTAGAATGTGTTATTAAAATTACACAAAGGTATGAGAACGATGGGTGCTAGAGCCATCCACACTTTACGTGTTGCAGTGCGTCGACTCGGTGGCTCTAGTGTTCAGTCGGTGATGACGCATTCTTTACGATGATCTGTGCCAGCGACATGGGTTCTTCAACGTAGCAAAACCTCTCGCAGAGCAACCGAACAGTGCCTAGTACTCATATTTGCAGAACACATACTCACTCAACATTGCTTCATTATCCTGTGTCTCTGCTGCAAGTCGGAACACGCTGGGTCGAAGCCGCTCACAGCTCTGATGAAGCTCCTTGATGAGTTCCGACTCTTCTGCTGATGTCTGGCCGAGGTAATACTGATCCAGCATCTCACTCAGGAGCCTCACATTGTTGTGCACAGATTCCAGTTCCGTTACCCTTCGGCTATTCATCTCCACACGATATTCATCCTGGAAGTAATCTTCATTTTACACTACTTGCAAAGAAATATGTATGTCATACAAATGTAAACTGTACGTGCAGCAGAGCCAACAAAGTGAAAAAGATAAAAGCAACACATTCAATATGGCCTCCCTGTCCGGCTATTATTACATAGCTCAGAACAGCCATCCTGGCCCAAAATTTTTCAAACTGCTACTTATTTCCACCCCTCTGCTTGGTCTTGATATAACAGCCAGACAGATAATTACTTCTTACATACTACAAGAAATAAACCTCTACACAACCAAAGCTCATGAGAAATTATTTTTCCTTCAGACTACACAGATATGAATGTGTTGCTCTATTAGGTTAAATAGTCACTGTAAAATCACAAAACAGCCAGTAACCAAAACCTAAAAGAACTGAGGCCGACAAATGTGTTAAAAAAAAAAGGCAAATGCAAGTTTAATGCCCAGACACAGTTCTCAATTCATTATGCCTATTAAATAATTACTGAAGCACTGCATCAAAGTGTAAAATGAACTAGACTTATTTACTGTAAAAATAGTGACAGAAACATTTTATATCGTTTTGAAGTTTAGTAATTTAATGCAGTACTGATTTTCTGTTTGCTTTTTCTGAGGCTACTTAACGATGTTACATCCATTACAGTGGTTATGTACCACAAAATTGAAGTGCAATGAACTATTACAAACAGTGATTTGAGACAGGTATAGAAGTCACCATAGCTCAGATACTGGTGTAGAACCTATAGAGTCCATGCATTGCTGCTGAACATAAAGTGTTTCGGTAGTGTACTTGAACACCTTGAACATACCTCCTTGACCATAGTCTTAATCAACCTATTTGCTGCCTGCAGATCATCAGGATTCTTGCTTTGTAACAATTTTTGTAGGAGTCGTGACCGTTCATCATCTTCAAAGATGGAGCTTCTTGGACGAGTTGGTGGTGAAATGATGGAGACATCCTTCTCTTTACTGTTTGCACCACTACTAACGTATGGTGGATCCTCCTGAAAGTACAAGAAACTGTGCATGAAGCATACAAAAATCTGTTTTGTTTCCATATATTTTACATGGTTATTTTTACATCACAACTAATTCAGGGATTCAAGATGGCTGGCTATTATCTTTAGTGTCAAGTAGAAGTTACTGACAAACTGAACTTTGCCTCATGTAGTGGCAACACCGTGTCACATGATTTAATACAAACCGCACATGCAACTTAATTACCCTGAAGCTGATTCCTTCAACACCTGTCACACACAAGACACATTAATATTTCTTTGGGTCACCAACAACCGTGATACAAAAATTTTACTCGTGTAAAACAAATAATTTCTCCACAACATACCTTAACAACACCTTGCTTCTTCAGCATGTCATAGGCCTCTTTGATTTTTGTTTCTCGAGGATACTCGATCGTCCACGCGTGCATGAGTAGTAACACTCGTTGTCTCACGGCCAAAGCAGTCTGTCCACCGAGGTATTTCGGTGACACCAACTTTATCATCTCATTCAGGAAGCGGAATTTTCCTACTTCTGCGTGGAAGCCCACCCCACAGTGCTTCATACATGTGTCCAGCAACTGTAAAACATTACCTTTTATAGAGTATTACTTTATACAGTGACATACCAGTGACAATGACATTCAACAGAATGTACTATATTAGTATTATCCCCTTTGTTTATAATATATGTAATAAGACAGTCTTTCCAATGCATTCATAAAAGTAACCCTTAAATTTCCATTTTCAAAGATTGTACTAGAGCAATGATTGATACAAACTACAGCACATGGTAGGAGCCGTGGTAGCTCAGTCAGTATTTTGTCAGATTACAGACTGGATGACCAAGGTTTTATTCCCAGGAGGGAAAAAGTATTTTTCTTCCAGCACTCGGGACAGCTCTGGGGCCAATCCAGCCTCCCAACCGATGGATACCAGGGGTCCTTTTCCTGGGGACAGCATGGCCAGGGCATGACACTGGCCACTCACCCCCATCTAGTCAAGAATGAGTAGGAGCTATACCACCTCTCCCACAAGGTGGTATTTTAAACATCTTGGTACATAACCCCAAAGTTTTCAAACATGGAATATTCTACTATACAGAAACAGAACTGACTAATATTTTAAGTGTAGACATGAACGAGAGATTACTCAAAATTAGAAGCAAAAAAATTTTAACTTAAACAAGACTGGTTTTACCAATCTGATTAAATATTCTTCAAAATGCTCAGAATTAAAAATTATTCCAGACACTGAAATACACATCTATCCGGTTTACAGATTTCTTATGAATTTCCTTCAAAAGTTTTAATCCCAATGCATGGGCTGGTTAAAATATCAGCGCACACTGGCCATCCATTGCATACATTCACTTTGTCCAAGCTTAAAGTAAATGAGTATTTATGTATGAGCTTGTTAAGATATTTGTAAGGGCCAACATAAAAAGTAATAAAATTAAATGCAAAATCAAAAGGAAAATACATATTCGCACATGCTTTCATTTCAAGTGTGCAATGACTTTCGCGCCCCTCTTACAGTTACATATTATGTTATAAAACAAATCTGTTCTGTAGTCACCACGAGCAGATGTCCTTCAAGCACGTGATGGCCATCTCTTCATTTCACAAGAGATATTCCTGCTAGCAGCTTTGTGTACTTACATTAAGGGCCTGTAGTGCTTCCCACTCCTGCAATGACTGAATTTTGTTAGCTATCACTCTCGTCGCAATGTGTGCACAGTATGGCTCCTTATTCAGGACATTGCAGATTTCCACCACAGCTGCTGTGTCAGTGATGTGATTCCTGGGATTTGTTGCTTTCTCTGTAACAATAACCCTGAAGCGTACAGTCGCCTATGAATCTTACGGCACGCCAAGATGAAACTAAGTCGTGACACATCGTACACATGTCAAGACTGCTGTTACTTGGTCTTCCAAGTGAATATTTTACAACTTTCCACCAACATTTTGTTATCCACTCTATGTCTCAACATCATACATCACCTTTAAACACCAATTCAGACCAAATTACATGAAACTAATTTGACTAATCTGAAAAGTACTTAGAGGAAGGGAGAGCGATGAAAGAGACATAAAGGACATATCATAAGTCATTAATAATGAAACAGGCTCAAAAATTCAAAAATGCATTTCTAATCACAATTCTTAAAATTCATTGAGGCAAAAATATGAAAACTGGGTAACTGAGAAGGGATGGAGCACTTCCAAAGTAATTTTTGTCAGTGACAAAAAAAACCACACTGTGAACTTTCTCAATGATGTGATGACCCAAAGATTATTGTTTGGAGGAAATGATGAAACTCCAAAAATTGTAATCAAGACAGTCATGATGTAAACCACATGATTCCATAAATGCTAATTTGGCAGTTCTGAGTTTGCTGCACCAACCCGCTCAGCTTTCTCAATGCGATATTCACTTTAGTAACAAATCCTTTCACAGTATACATGCAACTTTCAGCCTTGTACTTCATTTGACCCATCAGTTTCCCATAAAGAAAAGTTGAAATCAAAATGTTGGTGTGAAACAGAAGAAAATCACTGCACACAAATTACAATTGCTTCTATAAGTTTTGACATTACAGAATAAATGTTCAGATTTAAATTATTCAAATGTTCTTCTAAAGCTTATAGTCACACCATACTATTGACGATAAAAGAGAAAAGAACTTGCATATTCCTCCTGGATTAAAATGTTAACCCCCAAAAACGCAAATTAGTTATATTTAGTCCAAAAATATCATGTCAATGCAACTATTAACACTACACATCTGTAAAAAAAAACATTTCAACTTGGACATCCTTCACAGTATCTTAAATTTCTTTAAAACGTAAGTAAATAGCGAAAAGCCATGTAAAGAACCATGTGAAACTCCACACCGCATTCAATAGAATCTACTTGCCACACTGTACCCTAATTCACAGGACTGGTAAAAATTACAAAAACAATCATGTACTTAGTGCGGCAATTACGTACATACATCACGTTTAATTAATGACATTCTCAATTGTAAACCAATAAAGCAAATTATAGTAATAAGTAAATGTCTCCTTTGACGTTTATTCTTTTCAACTGCCGCACACACAGGCGTTACAAACACGGGAACTGCGATGATGTACTGAAATTGAGCTGCAGAAGCCGTCAACTACACGTAATACCATGCCCCTACAATCAGTCAGAAAATTAATGGTATACAATCATAACTTACGAACTAAACTTTCCAGATTACTCGCTACGTCCTCCATGTTCCTTTCATTACACTGCTTTCTAAATCATTATTGTGTAGATCAAAGAGGCTGACTACGATGAGCTACCGATTTTGTGGTATTGTAAATCAACAATGGTATTGAACGAAGGAATATTACTATTGTTGCAAATAAAACACAGTATCAAAGAATAATTATACACGCCAATAAATATAATTGGCACTATGCGAGGTTGTTTATTGGTAACATTTTGCATTCAATTTTTAAACCGAGCGACCATACAATATCTGCAATATGAAATTCTAGTTTCGCTTGTGGTTTTCTTTATAAAAAGTGGTTCATCACACAACTCGTTTCAGTTTGCGTATGAACCATCTCCATTATTGATATTTTCTGCTCGTCGTGGCGTAAATGAAGCAACGTATTACAATTTTGTATGCCTGAGGTAAACTTGAAAAGTTGGTATTCTGTTTTAGCATAACAAATTCGACGAACAGGTAACCGAAGGGGTGTGATGAACAGGAGTGTAGGAAACGGTGCCAACTGATGACAGAGAAAATTAAAATGGCGACGAGGGTATGGAATGTTGGGAGAAATGCTGCAGTACTAAGAAATCCTGTTTGTAATATAAATAACCGTAGATCCGCTACCACTACGCCTTCAGGAGCTATATTACCCGAACCGCGCAAAACTCCGTTTGGACTGATTGGAATTATATTTGCAGTGTTACCAGGGTTACTGATAGGTGCAAATATCAGTAAAAAGATTGCAAACTTTCTGGAGGAAAATGACTTATTTGTTCCGTCGGATGATGACGACGACGATGACTAACCGCTATAATTCAGTATCGTGTAAGTTATTGCATTAAATTTGTGTTGTCATTTAACAGGTAAACTGTTTAACATTGTTTTCCTCTTTTAAAATACATTTTCGTATGGGTGTTTTGGGTATATCGTTACAGTACGATGATTTATGGTAGGGGCATTAGAATGGCTTGAATCAGTGTTACATTACACTTGTTTATATTGGGGACAATTATAAATGACCAAAATAAGTTGCAGGTACATGTGGTCACAATATTTTTTGTATTTTAACATTTTCCTGTTATACAAATGACTGAAGAGAATATCATGAATTGGAACTTCTTGTCTAATGGCTTCTGATATTCTTCAAATTTTTCAGAAATAATAACTTTATAAAACCGGGGCGAATGTTACATGGGTGTACCATAATCTGCATTGTCTGTCAATACATACATATACACACACATTTGATGGATCCAAACATTAGACTGACTGTAAAATGTGGAATAAGGCATAAAGTACAAATCAGTACCTGTTTGTGAGTCTTGAGTTCAGTTGGTGTCACATGTCTGTAAATAACTAAGACAAGTTGCATTCAGTTATTGGAATTAGTTTGTAATGAATGTAAATCCATGAAAATATCTTAAATTCATCATGTACAAAACTCCTTACTTGATAGAAATCATCTGAATAATGCATCCTACTTTTATACCTCCAAAAATTGAACAGGGCTCTTTGTTTTGTCTTTACAGGTTAGACCCCAGCATTAGGATGTAGTTAGCAGCCAAAAGGATTCAAGCCTCTTCCTTGAAGCAAAATCAAGCCCATTATTCAAGCCTACTCTTGCATTATTTATGCCATGATTATTTTTTTGTGTTTTGTTGTGAGAGTGCTAAACACACTGGAGTATTCTAATTTTAAGCAGTACATTTAATGAATGTCACATGAAATAAGACATAATGAACAAATGAAACACAGAGCCAATCATGGAATTCATAGAGGATTACAGACCCCAAGTGCAAAACTATGTTCTTCAAATGTCCTGCTCAAGAATCCAACTCCTAGCTATCCAGTACCAACCAAATGGATTGAAGGACTCTGCTACAAATGCTGGCATGAAATCATAGAAGGCCACTGGGCCAGTTTGTGGAAGGCTGATGGTGATGGCAATTAATCAGAATCAGCATGAATAAAGTTCTGACTTATAATTCAGAGCTTTCAAAGATACTTCTGTAATCACTTTCAAGCCATTGGTGAAGTTTAGTTTTGTCCACAAATGAAATTACACCAGACTACTCGGGAGGCAATGTACAACTGACATCCAGGTTAGGTTTGATGTGTATGTTGATCTAATATTTTAAAAAAAATTATTGTAATGGTGAGAGAGTGAATTATGCCCCAGTGTGTTAATGCATAACATTTATACTTACTGTATAATGCAGTACCATGTAAATAATTATTTATACAATGCATTGCTTATTGAAATAAAGGAACTTAAATATCTGATCAAAAGAAACGATTTGGAGTTCTATATTTGATATACACCACAATGTAGAATAATTTGTTTCTTTTAAGCATGATTCTGTTATCTCTGAACATTAAGGATGATTGCACTTAGCAAGAACTATATATAAAATAATTGTATCTCCTTTGATGCAGGAAACAGGTTAGGTTTGATGCAGGTATTTAATGACATACGATTCTTGCACACGGTTTTGAAAACGATAAGTTTATTTTTATCACACCATTACAGAGGTGTCATAAAAATGTTTACAAACTAATAATCTGTAATTTAAAGAAACTTGTAACTTAAATTTTAGGTGTTTAATACTATGAAGAACAGTGACATTGACTCCAGTGACAAATACTTTAAAATTCCCATTGCAAATATTTTATTTTAGAATTCGCAGTGGCTGGTAATTCTACCCACAGATGAAACGTGATATTTTTCCACAGATAAGAACAGGAATTGTTACTAATGAGGAACTCCATAATTTATATTAGTGCTACAATTCTAAGAAGTCTGTGGCCACATACATTTTCACTTATCCAAACAGATATTTATAAATATATTTTTTACAGAGGAGATTTATTATTAATGTATTTCTTAAGAGAACTGCAATGTAAAAATATAAATTTTGGCTATGCTTACACTTTGGCACAGAAACTCCCAAAAAGCTGGTATAATTTTATGTACTTTGAGTGCACTAACAAGAATTTCAAACGTCATTAACCTCTGTTAGTGAAAATTATCACTACAATACTGAGACATTCATCACTGTGTATCCTTGAGATACTACTTGTGCAGAGTATAACACAAACTTATGAAGGTGCAAATAACTCAACATGTTTGTGCATAAGAACTTCCATTTGGCAATGTGTGATCATACTGAAAGAATCTACACATTTACTGACAAATCACGTAAACCATCACCATAGTCCATGCTCTGCTGTTTGTCTTAACTATTCAGGTGGCTTTTTGTGGGGTCCCCAACCATGGAAGCATTTTGTAAATCTCCTCGATTCTTTGTTTTTCAGCGTGAGAAAAAGTTTGCGAGATTTATCTGGTTGTTTCACCCGTAAATGCTGGATGTACACCTGTCAATCAAAATACTTATTTACGCATGGTGTGCAGTATTTCAATACAAGATTAATAGGAAATTAAAAAATCCTTATGAACATTCCAAATAATCTGTAAGTCCAGAAAAAGCTGCACAAATCTTTTCTTTTTGTGTCTTAAAACCTTCAGCTTTATCATAAATAAGCCATATATGTTAAAGTAACAGAAATAAGAATTTTTGAAGGCTCAGTTTATAGTACAGGAGCATTATGAAGCCAGTGTAGCTTCTTGTAAGGACGATGGAAATTATTATTATTATAACTGTAAACTGAACTTACTTGGGCAGATTTGTAGGCCAGCTTGATTTCTACTTCGCTACACTTAGCACCCAGCCACAAAAACACCTGTTCACCATTGTCCAGAATCATGATATCGTCATCAGCTAAATCATCCTGAAATATAACAGTTTTAGATCCTGACCAGTTATTCTGCATGTCAAATACTAAAGAAAAATGGGAGTATGACAGGGACAGTACATCAACTTTTTATAGACTTCAAGAAAGTCTATGATTCACTTAAGAGGGTCATATAAAACATTCTCACTTAATTTGCTATACTCATGAAACTATGTAGGCTAATTCATCATCATCATTAGCTCTACAGCCTCTGCTTCCCAATTTAGGCTAATTACAACGTGTTTTAAATGAAACCTACAGTAAAGTCTGTACAGGGAAACATCTGTCTGGCGTATTTCTTATTCAGTACGGTCTGAAACAAGGAGACGCTTTATCACCACTGCTTTTGAACTTCACTTCAATAAATGCCATTAGGAGGGTCCAAGAAAACAAACAGGAGATGGATATGAAAGGGACACATCAGATTCTGGTCTCTTCTGATGTTAATTTATTGATAAAACAAATATCATAAAGAAAAACACTCACATTCTATTAGATGCTAGTAGTAAGGAAATTGGTGCAGAAATAAAGGTAGATAGAACTAAGTACATGTACATGTCTCTTCCCTAGACTACAGGACAAGTCATTGTATAAAGGTAGTTAATAATCCTTTGAAGATGTGGCACAGTTCAAATGTTTGGGGGATGATGGTAAAAGTAAAGCTGTCCCACTATACGCCATGTAGATGCTTAGGGGAGAGGAGGTATAGCTCCTACTCATCCTTAACCTCAGCACTAGATACGGGTAAGCGGCAGTGCCGTGACCCAGCCACGCTTTAATCCCGGGAAAGGACCCCGGTGCCCACTGGGTAGCAGGCTGGGTGGGCCCCAGAGCCAGTGTGTACACAGGTCCTAGAGGAAAAATCCTCTACCCCTGTCAGAGATCACACCCCGGGTGTCCAGTCCACAGTCAGTCACTACACTCACTGAGCTACTCAGCTCATTGGGAGATTATGGTAAGAAATAAAAATTGCATCCATGTTTAAATTGAAAGCTAACTAAATTTAGGGAATTCTAGCTTGCGTGCAAGTGCATGAAGCCAATCAGAGAGCTGTTATATTATTTTGCATCCAACTGAGCAAAATTCCTATAGAAGCAGCTCATTTGATATAGAAGCATCAGATACCTGCAGTATTCTCTAAATAACAACAAACATGAATTATACTCTGCACAGGCATTCACCACAAACAGTTACAACAATCAGGTAAATTAAACAATATCTGTCATAAACATATTATGGTAAGATTAATGATACATTCACACATACCTGACAGAAATCAGAGCATTTCTCTGAAACAGTAAAGTATCCCTTTTCATTTGAACATCGGAAAAGACGCGTGTAGTTCATAAAATCAGCTTCTTTATCATATTCCTTTCGGCCGCCAAGACCCAACCAGAAGAAATTATCCGGCTCTTCGCCCTCATTCAGTGTCTGGAAGCCTATCCATGGCTGTAACAAGATTCAGCGAATATGAGTTTTGTTACAGGCGGACTACATGTTTATACAAGACTAAATGTTGGTCCGTTTCTCCTTCTGTGTACAGAAATCAAGAAAGTTTAGTTGTGCACATAGGAAGCTCACTCGATGTAACTGCAGGACAGCAGCGCCCAGAGCACATTTTGCCAATTAAATCACACACAGAAACATAATTTATTGTCTCCCCATACATAGACCAGTTTCTTCATGAATTACTATGCAAATTAAAGATCCCACGACCATATTTCAAGAAAAGATGTGAATGAAAATGATGACACACCACTGCTGTTTACACTCACATTATTGAACATCTCCTCTGCTATCTCTTCTATTAGCCGGGCCTCATCTGGGTCTGCTTTTGATCCGATCCAAACATACACTATTCCAGATGACTCTTCATTATCAAATGGAACCTTCAGAATATATCTGCAGACATAAAAATAAATGTAAATCTTCAATTAATAACAACACTACAGTTAAAATAAGATACTGATAAGACAAGACAGTTAATTACTCCCCTTGTCATTACAAGGACAGTGCAAATGAAAAACATAAGATATTTTTATACAAGACTTGAGGCTTTCACAGAGACTAAATGCAATAAAACCTTCTCAGGCTATACAAGACACACCAAGAAATAATCATAGTCCAACGTTTCAGAGACACTCGCTGTCTCCAACATAAGAGAATGATAGATAAGATATTTTTACTTTGGTATGATCTTCACAGATTACAAAAGAATTTTTGATTATCTCTCCATTCTTAGGTACAGGAAAATAAATGGCATACTTTACCTTTTCTTCACACACAGTGCACAAAATGAATGCACATTCAGGAGGTCATATCTGTTTGTCCACGGAAATTTAGTATTAAAAGATTGTGTAAGACAATTTCCACATGGCCAACCCATCTTAGTTGTAGTTCTCAAGGCACTGTTCATTATCTATACTCTGTAACGGTTCTATCAGCATAGTGGTATGAAAAAGACCTATCTTTCTGAAATGTTTGCTTACGTGAAAGCTGAATTGAGGGCTGCAGCATCTGGTTTTATCTGTATAAGACGGGTGCAGAGAGCACTCCCATTGGATCGAAGATGGTAAAATTCAACTGGAGGTAGACCGTCGTGTGGTGCTGCCTCTTTTCGTCTTCCATGGTGAATGATAAACTTCCGCTTGAAATGCGCCATGAATTTGAGGTTCTCTTGCTGCTGATGTGTGCGTACAACTTCCAGTTTCTCTCCAAACAGTGACTTGAACTTCTTTTGAAGGCTGTAACAGAAACGCATCCAACAAGATGATGCACGATTTGTTACGAAGCAACAGTTTTCACTGCAGACTGTAAATACCTGTCATACTTTCACCATTTCACATCACTGTTTCTTTTAAAATAGATGGTTGTACATACTGAAATATGCAACAACTATGTAAGCGGTTTAATATGTTGACTTATGGATACTATATTAAATAATGGCCTCTACATACTAACAAAGTCTGAACCAATTATACTACTAATAATAAAACCCACAAGACCCAAGGCTCTGTGGCAAATACAATACAATGTGAGAGATGCACTGTTATTAATTTTTAGAACCTCAATGAACAGTGTTCAAGCGCAGCCCTGCCTTCCAGAACTGTGTTTGTACCTGAAAGTGAAGGTCAGCCAACCCATATTTGAGGCCTCTCTGCCTTGCCAAAAGTACACAATGCACTGGAAGTCATCCTCTAGCTGCTCTTGTTCTGTTTCTGCTTCCACATTTGTATCATCTGGCGCATCAACTGGGACCCAATAGCGACAAAGAAAAACATAACAATCCCGGCTGTAGAAATGACCTGTACCAAACAGAAAAAAATGGTCATGTTCAGAAACTTAAACTGCAACTAAGTAACTCCATGCACCTCCTCTTGAGAAGTTGACAGGTGCTTAGGTGGCCCAGAAATTACGTACGTTTATTGAAGATGAAGGTTTATTACCATGTTCACAAGAGCCTGCCACTGGACCCTACCACGAGACAGCTAAATCCAGTCCATACCATTACACAATTCCTTAGATCCAGTTTAATATTATCAAACCATTTGTGCCTAAGCCTCCCAAACAGCCACTTATTTCAGAGTTTCCCAACCACAACAGTGTATGCGTTTCTGATTTCTCCTATGCATGCTACATGTTCTGCATATCTCATCATCCTACTAAGATGTACAAGGTCACAAAAACAAGCAAGCTCTTTTCATTTCATATTTTCCTACCATTTAAGAACCATGTTAAACCTCTTTCCTTTTTTCTTTTCTTTCTTATATATATATATAATTTCATAATTTATATTCATCTTGCTACAAGTTTCAGTTTTAATATTTTATAACACAAGACAGCATTGCAAAGGTGAAGTGTTTGCTTTTAGATTCTAGGTCTTTGGTATTCCTAACTGAATGCCGTCTTCTCAGCGTAACCAACTGTGTCGCTCTCTTACCTAATTCCTCTTCTGGCAGTCTCACAAACTTCTTTCCTTCAAGTACGAAAGCTTCCATCGCCTCTAGGTCTTCATTCCACTCTTCACTCAGCTGCTGCGCTTCGGAAGCTGACATTGGGGGTTGTCTCGGAGTGAACAGAGCTGCAAGATCAGCCTACACATGGAAATTACAGTTTATGAACATAGTCTTATACTTTACCCCACTACTTAATTACTGTTATTACAATTTTGAGAAGTGAATGATGACAATCTCTTTAGTGCATGATCTTTTTAAGCTTATGTATTTGAGGCACAGGTATGTATGCCTATATCATTTTAGATGTGTATGCTCAACACAAACAATATTAATTCTATGTAATCGAAACAAAGCTGACAGAAATTAATAAAATGACTGCTATAATAGAATATAAGTTTCTCATGACAGTGCTGAGTGATCCTTCATGGAATATGCCTTCATTAATAATCTAAAGACTGCTTTAAACTGGATATGGGAAATAAATTAATAATTCTGGACCTTTATCCCCAGCTGAAGAGGATGGCTTCAAGATCACAGTCCAAATTAAAAGGCTGGTTATCTGTCACACTTCAACAGCTGTGATAGAGTTAATAACAAGTATTATTGTGAAAATTCACTATTTTGTAGCATATCAATAACACATCTTGAGAATTTTCATATATATAAATTAATCACATCAATACAAAACATGCTGTATGGAAGAAGTAAATAAACACAATAAAACATATATATCTCTGCTGTTAATAACAGTTGCCTGACAGTCATATGCTTCCTCTATTAAAGCTGTAGAAGGTGGCATGTGCACTCATTGCTTTCTTCACTACCACATTAACATGTGAGTGAACAGTGAAGAAACACAACTGTGTCAATCAGTGTTAAGATTGGATATGACTTTTGCACTAGTCACACCTAAATAATGTGAACAATTTGAGCTTCTAAACGATCAAAACAACAGAGGCAGAATAATCAAAGTCACGTACCTTTGTTTCCTGTTGACGGGCCCATTTGGTGAGATCTGCACCAGTCTTCTGGACAGACTCAGCAGTGCGTGTGAAGTCCACGGCAATTACTTCATCCCATCCACTGAATTTGGACTTGAAGATCTGTAACGTCAAAAAACAGAAACACTACAATCATATCTCCTGGTTTATTTTCTGACACTGTATGTGTTTCATAATTTGCCAGTTTTCCTATATTCAACTTTCCTTGGCATGTCACATTTATATATTTCCATATTACAAAAATGAATCAGAGGAGTGTTTTAACTTGGTATCAAGAAAGTTAGCTTTAAGATACACTTTATTTAATAAGCCAGTCTTCCCATGCATCAGTCTTTTCCATTAAGCTTTCCTGACAAAAATTTTGTATACATTACTCATCTTCATCATACATGCTTCATGCCCTACCCATCTCATCCTCTTTGATTTGATCACCATACTAATATTTGATTAAGAGTATGAACTATGGAGTTCCTTGCAAAATTACATTTCTAACAATACTACATCTAATGACCTGTGTTTCTGTGCCTTCCTGCACCCTCGTAACCAGTGCATATTCAGGGCGATCTATCATAGTAAACAGTTCTTGGGACAATTTTATTGCTGCGGCCCTTACCAGACGTGTCGATTTCTTGCCAAACCTGTGATTGGAAACAGTAACAATTAAGATCGACTGCAACAAAACATCAGTCCACAAGACAACATCCTACAGAAAATTTTCCATGACTTAAATCCTGGGGGAGGCTGACCATTGAAGTTCCAAAGTTAAGGAAAATGTTGTATATTCACTGGACCTAAGAAAGAGGAGGTTAACACCAATACATAACAATGGGAAAAATTAGGTTTATTTTATACTTTAACCTTTACATCTTCAAATAAAAGAGGGGAAGCAGAAGATAGTGTGCTAAGTAGTAGGTAGCATTCCCTGAACTTAATTTCCAGAAATACAGGAGTCAAAATAATTTACTTGCCATACAAATACATCAAGGTAACAATCAAGGATGTAAACATTGCGATTGCTGAGAAGTGTATTGACCAGTTTGCCATGAGGAACCTCCACTTGCGGCAACTCCAGATACCCCATGCCCAGCCTCACTTGGTACAATCGTGGGGTGGCTGGCACAAAGTCCAGAACAACATGCTCCTGTACATAAGGAGGAATTAGTCAAATAAGGGCCCGTATCAGCAAATAAACCTTTTGTCTTTTATTATCCCTTATGTGTACTGGCTATTATAGAAGTATTTAACCCTCTGATGCCAAAGCTTGTCTAAGTAATATTTAAGAATCCAGCCCGTACCGCAAAGAAAACACTACACTTCGCCATTACAAAGATCTACAGGTTAACACTGTTTAGGTAACTAATCACTGTTCATTCTGAGAATCACATGAAACTCGAAAATACACTCTGTGGGCAAAAGCAGAATTACTGATTGTTAAAGAAGGTGGTACATATAGTTACCACTGACCTTAAAGGGTTAAAATAATATTAAAATGATTAAGGCTTCAATACCATTATGGCATCATCTGGAGGCAGTCCATCTTCATCTCCCAGAATCTTCCAGAAGTCTGAGCTTTCAGCTCCAGGCATTTCTGTAATAATTTCGGCTTTATTTTTGCGTTCATTCTTATTGATTTTTTCAGCCATAAGCCTGAAAAAAAAATTGTGATAACTGCAGAAGTTACTCCATTGTACATGCCTTACTGCAAAAGAGTACACAGTGGATCCAGGGCAGACATGTGACATGTAATTAACCTCTACGTCATGGAAACGTTTTGGGGGCATAGAGACATGTACCACAAATTCTGATGACAGATGCAGTAATCTCCTCTGAGAAATAATTGGTGAATATTTACCAAACTACACATTCCAGAAGAGTCATCTTCATACTTATCTCCAAACGACAAACTCAAATCTCATCAGCCTGATAAAGTTTTTGTAATACATTAATAAATTTTAAAGCCTGAAAATTAATGAGATGTAGGTAAAATTAAAGTTAATACAATTCTATTGCAACTTTATGTCTAAGTTTAAGACACGGTCTTTTGAAGAATGACGCAAAGACGCGGCTACAGTGAAACCTCGATGCATCGTTTTCGGCGGGGGTGGGAAATAAAAACGATGAATGCGGGAAAACGATAGATGCGGAAAAGCATTAAAAATTTAAAAAAAACAATGTTTCTCTTTCAAAGTTACTTCTTTTTACCAAAAAAGTCTTTAATGGACAACTGGTTTGTCGAAACTTTACGTTTTAGACCAAACAGAGCACTTTCCACGTTCAAAATGTTTTCCTCGTCACGTTCACTAATATTAAGCGCATAAAAGAACAACTTCACTTTCGCCAATGCAGCGTGCGCTTCGGCAAAACTCGGCAAAGCTCACCACTCCAACCCCCTTTGCGGACAATAACAGGAAGAATGGAAATACTATTACTGCCGAACTCAACGAAACGTAGTTGTAGAAGACCCTGAACCACTGGAAACGAGATGAACCAGAAGAATGAAAAGTGTCCCCGCCTTTCCTTTGTCCTTATGCATTGCTTATTGAAATAAAGGAACTTAAATATCTGATCAAAAGAAACGATTTGGAGTTCTATATTTGATATACACCACAATGTAGAATAATTTGTTTCTTTTAAGCATGATTCTGTTATCTCTGAACATTAAGGATGATTGCACTTAGCAAGAACTATATATAAAATAATTGTATCTCCTTTGATGCAGGAAACAGGTTAGGTTTGATGCAGGTATTTAATGACATACGATTCTTGCACACGGTTTTGAAAACGATAAGTTTATTTTTATCACACCATTACAGAGGTGTCATAAAAATGTTTACAAACTAATAATCTGTAATTTAAAGAAACTTGTAACTTAAATTTTAGGTGTTTAATACTATGAAGAACAGTGACATTGACTCCAGTGACAAATACTTTAAAATTCCCATTGCAAATATTTTATTTTAGAATTCGCAGTGGCTGGTAATTCTACCCACAGATGAAACGTGATATTTTTCCACAGATAAGAACAGGAATTGTTACTAATGAGGAACTCCATAATTTATATTAGTGCTACAATTCTAAGAAGTCTGTGGCCACATACATTTTCACTTATCCAAACAGATATTTATAAATATATTTTTTACAGAGGAGATTTATTATTAATGTATTTCTTAAGAGAACTGCAATGTAAAAATATAAATTTTGGCTATGCTTACACTTTGGCACAGAAACTCCCAAAAAGCTGGTATAATTTTATGTACTTTGAGTGCACTAACAAGAATTTCAAACGTCATTAACCTCTGTTAGTGAAAATTATCACTACAATACTGAGACATTCATCACTGTGTATCCTTGAGATACTACTTGTGCAGAGTATAACACAAACTTATGAAGGTGCAAATAACTCAACATGTTTGTGCATAAGAACTTCCATTTGGCAATGTGTGATCATACTGAAAGAATCTACACATTTACTGACAAATCACGTAAACCATCACCATAGTCCATGCTCTGCTGTTTGTCTTAACTATTCAGGTGGCTTTTTGTGGGGTCCCCAACCATGGAAGCATTTTGTAAATCTCCTCGATTCTTTGTTTTTCAGCGTGAGAAAAAGTTTGCGAGATTTATCTGGTTGTTTCACCCGTAAATGCTGGATGTACACCTGTCAATCAAAATACTTATTTACGCATGGTGTGCAGTATTTCAATACAAGATTAATAGGAAATTAAAAAATCCTTATGAACATTCCAAATAATCTGTAAGTCCAGAAAAAGCTGCACAAATCTTTTCTTTTTGTGTCTTAAAACCTTCAGCTTTATCATAAATAAGCCATATATGTTAAAGTAACAGAAATAAGAATTTTTGAAGGCTCAGTTTATAGTACAGGAGCATTATGAAGCCAGTGTAGCTTCTTGTAAGGACGATGGAAATTATTATTATTATAACTGTAAACTGAACTTACTTGGGCAGATTTGTAGGCCAGCTTGATTTCTACTTCGCTACACTTAGCACCCAGCCACAAAAACACCTGTTCACCATTGTCCAGAATCATGATATCGTCATCAGCTAAATCATCCTGAAATATAACAGTTTTAGATCCTGACCAGTTATTCTGCATGTCAAATACTAAAGAAAAATGGGAGTATGACAGGGACAGTACATCAACTTTTTATAGACTTCAAGAAAGTCTATGATTCACTTAAGAGGGTCATATAAAACATTCTCACTTAATTTGCTATACTCATGAAACTATGTAGGCTAATTCATCATCATCATTAGCTCTACAGCCTCTGCTTCCCAATTTAGGCTAATTACAACGTGTTTTAAATGAAACCTACAGTAAAGTCTGTACAGGGAAACATCTGTCTGGCGTATTTCTTATTCAGTACGGTCTGAAACAAGGAGACGCTTTATCACCACTGCTTTTGAACTTCACTTCAATAAATGCCATTAGGAGGGTCCAAGAAAACAAACAGGAGATGGATATGAAAGGGACACATCAGATTCTGGTCTCTTCTGATGTTAATTTATTGATAAAACAAATATCATAAAGAAAAACACTCACATTCTATTAGATGCTAGTAGTAAGGAAATTGGTGCAGAAATAAAGGTAGATAGAACTAAGTACATGTACATGTCTCTTCCCTAGACTACAGGACAAGTCATTGTATAAAGGTAGTTAATAATCCTTTGAAGATGTGGCACAGTTCAAATGTTTGGGGGATGATGGTAAAAGTAAAGCTGTCCCACTATACGCCATGTAGATGCTTAGGGGAGAGGAGGTATAGCTCCTACTCATCCTTAACCTCAGCACTAGATACGGGTAAGCGGCAGTGCCGTGACCCAGCCACGCTTTAATCCCGGGAAAGGACCCCGGTGCCCACTGGGTAGCAGGCTGGGTGGGCCCCAGAGCCAGGGTGTACACAGGTCCTAGAGGAAAAATCCTCTACCCCTGTCAGAGATCACACCCCGGGTGTCCAGTCCACAGTCAGTCACTACACTCACTGAGCTACTCAGCTCATTGGGAGATTATGGTAAGAAATAAAAATTGCATCCATGTTTAAATTGAAAGCTAACTAAATTTAGGGAATTCTAGCTTGCGTGCAAGTGCATGAAGCCAATCAGAGAGCTGTTATATTATTTTGCATCCAACTGAGCAAAATTCCTATAGAAGCAGCTCATTTGATATAGAAGCATCAGATACCTGCAGTATTCTCTAAATAACAACAAACATGAATTATACTCTGCACAGGCATTCACCACAAACAGTTACAACAATCAGGTAAATTAAACAATATCTGTCATAAACATATTATGGTAAGATTAATGATACATTCACACATACCTGACAGAAATCAGAGCATTTCTCTGAAACAGTAAAGTATCCCTTTTCATTTGAACATCGGAAAAGACGCGTGTAGTTCATAAAATCAGCTTCTTTATCATATTCCTTTCGGCCGCCAAGACCCAACCAGAAGAAATTATCCGGCTCTTCGCCCTCATTCAGTGTCTGGAAGCCTATCCATGGCTGTAACAAGATTCAGCGAATATGAGTTTTGTTACAGGCGGACTACATGTTTATACAAGACTAAATGTTGGTCCGTTTCTCCTTCTGTGTACAGAAATCAAGAAAGTTTAGTTGTGCACATAGGAAGCTCACTCGATGTAACTGCAGGACAGCAGCGCCCAGAGCACATTTTGCCAATTAAATCACACACAGAAACATAATTTATTGTCTCCCCATACATAGACCAGTTTCTTCATGAATTACTATGCAAATTAAAGATCCCACGACCATATTTCAAGAAAAGATGTGAATGAAAATGATGACACACCACTGCTGTTTACACTCACATTATTGAACATCTCCTCTGCTATCTCTTCTATTAGCCGGGCCTCATCTGGGTCTGCTTTTGATCCGATCCAAACATACACTATTCCAGATGACTCTTCATTATCAAATGGAACCTTCAGAATATATCTGCAGACATAAAAATAAATGTAAATCTTCAATTAATAACAACACTACAGTTAAAATAAGATACTGATAAGACAAGACAGTTAATTACTCCCCTTGTCATTACAAGGACAGTGCAAATGAAAAACATAAGATATTTTTATACAAGACTTGAGGCTTTCACAGAGACTAAATGCAATAAAACCTTCTCAGGCTATACAAGACACACCAAGAAATAATCATAGTCCAACGTTTCAGAGACACTCGCTGTCTCCAACATAAGAGAATGATAGATAAGATATTTTTACTTTGGTATGATCTTCACAGATTACAAAAGAATTTTTGATTATCTCTCCATTCTTAGGTACAGGAAAATAAATGGCATACTTTACCTTTTCTTCACACACAGTGCACAAAATGAATGCACATTCAGGAGGTCATATCTGTTTGTCCACGGAAATTTAGTATTAAAAGATTGTGTAAGACAATTTCCACATGGCCAACCCATCTTAGTTGTAGTTCTCAAGGCACTGTTCATTATCTATACTCTGTAACGGTTCTATCAGCATAGTGGTATGAAAAAGACCTATCTTTCTGAAATGTTTGCTTACGTGAAAGCTGAATTGAGGGCTGCAGCATCTGGTTTTATCTGTATAAGACGGGTGCAGAGAGCACTCCCATTGGATCGAAGATGGTAAAATTCAACTGGAGGTAGACCGTCGTGTGGTGCTGCCTCTTTTCGTCTTCCATGGTGAATGATAAACTTCCGCTTGAAATGCGCCATGAATTTGAGGTTCTCTTGCTGCTGATGTGTGCGTACAACTTCCAGTTTCTCTCCAAACAGTGACTTGAACTTCTTTTGAAGGCTGTAACAGAAACGCATCCAACAAGATGATGCACGATTTGTTACGAAGCAACAGTTTTCACTGCAGACTGTAAATACCTGTCATACTTTCACCATTTCACATCACTGTTTCTTTTAAAATAGATGGTTGTACATACTGAAATATGCAACAACTATGTAAGCGGTTTAATATGTTGACTTATGGATACTATATTAAATAATGGCCTCTACATACTAACAAAGTCTGAACCAATTATACTACTAATAATAAAACCCACAAGACCCAAGGCTCTGTGGCAAATACAATACAATGTGAGAGATGCACTGTTATTAATTTTTAGAACCTCAATGAACAGTGTTCAAGCGCAGCCCTGCCTTCCAGAACTGTGTTTGTACCTGAAAGTGAAGGTCAGCCAACCCATATTTGAGGCCTCTCTGCCTTGCCAAAAGTACACAATGCACTGGAAGTCATCCTCTAGCTGCTCTTGTTCTGTTTCTGCTTCCACATTTGTATCATCTGGCGCATCAACTGGGACCCAATAGCGACAAAGAAAAACATAACAATCCCGGCTGTAGAAATGACCTGTACCAAACAGAAAAAAATGGTCATGTTCAGAAACTTAAACTGCAACTAAGTAACTCCATGCACCTCCTCTTGAGAAGTTGACAGGTGCTTAGGTGGCCCAGAAATTACGTACGTTTATTGAAGATGAAGGTTTATTACCATGTTCACAAGAGCCTGCCACTGGACCCTACCACGAGACAGCTAAATCCAGTCCATACCATTACACAATTCCTTAGATCCAGTTTAATATTATCAAACCATTTGTGCCTAAGCCTCCCAAACAGCCACTTATTTCAGAGTTTCCCAACCACAACAGTGTATGCGTTTCTGATTTCTCCTATGCATGCTACATGTTCTGCATATCTCATCATCCTACTAAGATGTACAAGGTCACAAAAACAAGCAAGCTCTTTTCATTTCATATTTTCCTACCATTTAAGAACCATGTTAAACCTCTTTCCTTTTTTCTTTTCTTTCTTATATATATATATAATTTCATAATTTATATTCATCTTGCTACAAGTTTCAGTTTTAATATTTTATAACACAAGACAGCATTGCAAAGGTGAAGTGTTTGCTTTTAGATTCTAGGTCTTTGGTATTCCTAACTGAATGCCGTCTTCTCAGCGTAACCAACTGTGTCGCTCTCTTACCTAATTCCTCTTCTGGCAGTCTCACAAACTTCTTTCCTTCAAGTACGAAAGCTTCCATCGCCTCTAGGTCTTCATTCCACTCTTCACTCAGCTGCTGCGCTTCGGAAGCTGACATTGGGGGTTGTCTCGGAGTGAACAGAGCTGCAAGATCAGCCTACACATGGAAATTACAGTTTATGAACATAGTCTTATACTTTACCCCACTACTTAATTACTGTTATTACAATTTTGAGAAGTGAATGATGACAATCTCTTTAGTGCATGATCTTTTTAAGCTTATGTATTTGAGGCACAGGTATGTATGCCTATATCATTTTAGATGTGTATGCTCAACACAAACAATATTAATTCTATGTAATCGAAACAAAGCTGACAGAAATTAATAAAATGACTGCTATAATAGAATATAAGTTTCTCATGACAGTGCTGAGTGATCCTTCATGGAATATGCCTTCATTAATAATCTAAAGACTGCTTTAAACTGGATATGGGAAATAAATTAATAATTCTGGACCTTTATCCCCAGCTGAAGAGGATGGCTTCAAGATCACAGTCCAAATTAAAAGGCTGGTTATCTGTCACACTTCAACAGCTGTGATAGAGTTAATAACAAGTATTATTGTGAAAATTCACTATTTTGTAGCATATCAATAACACATCTTGAGAATTTTCATATATATAAATTAATCACATCAATACAAAACATGCTGTATGGAAGAAGTAAATAAACACAATAAAACATATATATCTCTGCTGTTAATAACAGTTGCCTGACAGTCATATGCTTCCTCTATTAAAGCTGTAGAAGGTGGCATGTGCACTCATTGCTTTCTTCACTACCACATTAACATGTGAGTGAACAGTGAAGAAACACAACTGTGTCAATCAGTGTTAAGATTGGATATGACTTTTGCACTAGTCACACCTAAATAATGTGAACAATTTGAGCTTCTAAACGATCAAAACAACAGAGGCAGAATAATCAAAGTCACGTACCTTTGTTTCCTGTTGACGGGCCCATTTGGTGAGATCTGCACCAGTCTTCTGGACAGACTCAGCAGTGCGTGTGAAGTCCACGGCAATTACTTCATCCCATCCACTGAATTTGGACTTGAAGATCTGTAACGTCAAAAAACAGAAACACTACAATCATATCTCCTGGTTTATTTTCTGACACTGTATGTGTTTCATAATTTGCCAGTTTTCCTATATTCAACTTTCCTTGGCATGTCACATTTATATATTTCCATATTACAAAAATGAATCAGAGGAGTGTTTTAACTTGGTATCAAGAAAGTTAGCTTTAAGATACACTTTATTTAATAAGCCAGTCTTCCCATGCATCAGTCTTTTCCATTAAGCTTTCCTGACAAAAATTTTGTATACATTACTCATCTTCATCATACATGCTTCATGCCCTACCCATCTCATCCTCTTTGATTTGATCACCATACTAATATTTGATTAAGAGTATGAACTATGGAGTTCCTTGCAAAATTACATTTCTAACAATACTACATCTAATGACCTGTGTTTCTGTGCCTTCCTGCACCCTCGTAACCAGTGCATATTCAGGGCGATCTATCATAGTAAACAGTTCTTGGGACAATTTTATTGCTGCGGCCCTTACCAGACGTGTCGATTTCTTGCCAAACCTGTGATTGGAAACAGTAACAATTAAGATCGACTGCAACAAAACATCAGTCCACAAGACAACATCCTACAGAAAATTTTCCATGACTTAAATCCTGGGGGAGGCTGACCATTGAAGTTCCAAAGTTAAGGAAAATGTTGTATATTCACTGGACCTAAGAAAGAGGAGGTTAACACCAATACATAACAATGGGAAAAATTAGGTTTATTTTATACTTTAACCTTTACATCTTCAAATAAAAGAGGGGAAGCAGAAGATAGTGTGCTAAGTAGTAGGTAGCATTCCCTGAACTTAATTTCCAGAAATACAGGAGTCAAAATAATTTACTTGCCATACAAATACATCAAGGTAACAATCAAGGATGTAAACATTGCGATTGCTGAGAAGTGTATTGACCAGTTTGCCATGAGGAACCTCCACTTGCGGCAACTCCAGATACCCCATGCCCAGCCTCACTTGGTACAATCGTGGGGTGGCTGGCACAAAGTCCAGAACAACATGCTCCTGTACATAAGGAGGAATTAGTCAAATAAGGGCCCGTATCAGCAAATAAACCTTTTGTCTTTTATTATCCCTTATGTGTACTGGCTATTATAGAAGTATTTAACCCTCTGATGCCAAAGCTTGTCTAAGTAATATTTAAGAATCCAGCCCGTACCGCAAAGAAAACACTACACTTCGCCATTACAAAGATCTACAGGTTAACACTGTTTAGGTAACTAATCACTGTTCATTCTGAGAATCACATGAAACTCGAAAATACACTCTGTGGGCAAAAGCAGAATTACTGATTGTTAAAGAAGGTGGTACATATAGTTACCACTGACCTTAAAGGGTTAAAATAATATTAAAATGATTAAGGCTTCAATACCATTATGGCATCATCTGGAGGCAGTCCATCTTCATCTCCCAGAATCTTCCAGAAGTCTGAGCTTTCAGCTCCAGGCATTTCTGTAATAATTTCGGCTTTATTTTTGCGTTCATTCTTATTGATTTTTTCAGCCATAAGCCTGAAAAAAAAATTGTGATAACTGCAGAAGTTACTCCATTGTACATGCCTTACTGCAAAAGAGTACACAGTGGATCCAGGGCAGACATGTGACATGTAATTAACCTCTACGTCATGGAAACGTTTTGGGGGCATAGAGACATGTACCACAAATTCTGATGACAGATGCAGTAATCTCCTCTGAGAAATAATTGGTGAATATTTACCAAACTACACATTCCAGAAGAGTCATCTTCATACTTATCTCCAAACGACAAACTCAAATCTCATCAGCCTGATAAAGTTTTTGTAATACATTAATAAATTTTAAAGCCTGAAAATTAATGAGATGTAGGTAAAATTAAAGTTAATACAATTCTATTGCAACTTTATGTCTAAGTTTAAGACACGGTCTTTTGAAGAATGACGCAAAGACGCGGCTACAGTGAAACCTCGATGCATCGTTTTCGGCGGGGGTGGGAAATAAAAACGATGAATGCGGGAAAACGATAGATGCGGAAAAGCATTAAAAATTTAAAAAAAACAATGTTTCTCTTTCAAAGTTACTTCTTTTTACCAAAAAAGTCTTTAATGGACAACTGGTTTGTCGAAACTTTACGTTTTAGACCAAACAGAGCACTTTCCACGTTCAAAATGTTTTCCTCGTCACGTTCACTAATATTAAGCGCATAAAAGAACAACTTCACTTTCGCCAATGCAGCGTGCGCTTCGGCAAAACTCGGCAAAGCTCACCACTCCAACCCCCTTTGCGGACAATAACAGGAAGAATGGAAATACTATTACTGCCGAACTCAACGAAACGTAGTTGTAGAAGACCCTGAACCACTGGAAACGAGATGAACCAGAAGAATGAAAAGTGTCCCCGCCTTTCCTTTGTCCTTTTTAAATTCTCAGAAACGATCATTGCGGGAAAATTGTGGGCCGGGACTAAGATTTTTGAACGATCGATGCGATAAAACGATAGTTCGAGGAACGATAGAAGCGGGAAAATGTAACATTATTTTATATGGGATGTATTCAGGACCGAACAAAACGGACGATGCATCCGGGAAAACGATAGTTCCGGGAACGATGGATAGAGGTTTCACTGTAATGAGTTTTCAAACAGAAAATGGGAAGGAAATGGTGCCTCCTTTCCTTTTAACATATGTAGTTTTTACCAAGGATCATCATCAAATCAACCTGTCAGTAAATGCATCTGATAGTGGTCCTCTCTGGAATGCATCCTCAGTTCAGTCTTGAGAAGAACTCAAATATTTCATGAACATAGTTCTAATCTTTGTTCCATATACGACATACTTCTAATAAGGTAAGAACAAATACCTGGCTTTCGATTTAAAGGTGTTCTTTGATTTCTTGCCGTACCACATGAAGATCTTAAGCCCAGTGTCCAGCACAAACACAAATCGTGGATCCAGAGACTCCAATGCAACTTGGACAGGCTCAAGATGAATTGAACAGGAACCAGAAGCATGTACTCTGAACAGGCGGTTCACATACGTCTATAAAGTATACAAGTTAGTACTAAATGAGACTTTCATAACCCACAAAAAATAAATTACCATAAATGTCAGGACTATACATTAAGTAGCAACAGTGTTGCTGCCACCTCAGAAGTTTATGTACACAGTATGCTGATATTCTTGAAGGTAATAAGGTGGAATGACCTTAAATTACACCCCTTCTACAATTTAACCAATTTTAAATTTCCTTTTGTCTTTTTTTATCACACTCTAGTAATATGCATATATGAGCCGGGTTAGCTCAGTCAGTATAGTGACTAGCTGCGGGCTGGACGACTGGGGTTCGATCCCCGATGAGGGCAGAGGATTTTTCCTCTAGCCTCTGCGTCCAGACCAGCTCTGGGGCCCACCCAGCCTCCTCTACAATGGGCACCGGGGTCAAAAAAGAGAGAAGCTATACCTCCACTCACCCCAAACGCCTGTATGGCACATAGCGGGACAAACTTTACTTTACTTTTAGTAATATGCATATATCTTACAACAATTTCTTCCTTTTAAATAATGAACACATTTGCACAGCAAAATTTTTGTGACGCTACTCCGTTATGCAGAGTTCTTTATAAACAGGTTATAACACATGTAAGTACACTGTACTTCACCAGGATTCTTTACTTGTCAAAGAGAACTGTTATGCATAAGTTTTAATTAGCACTAATTATTTCCCTCTATAGTGTTGTATTCTTCTTGGTTATGGTACATTTAAAGACGTAATGGAAACATTCGTCAAGAGGAGCTATGTTGAAAAACTTGACAATCCTAAGCAGGGTGCTGATCTCAGACGAAACCTCGAGTGTTGAAACTGAGAACATTTCCGCTTCATGCGGAAGAAAAAAGAATGCTTCAACTGACAAAATAAACAAAGACCAGCAGCAAGTATGATACTATTTGCACAAAGTACGCTGCAAGATTATAAAGTCATTCTGGTAAGTGGCGAAGAGTTTCAAGACAAATTTCTAGTGCAGTGAGTTTTCCAATTCATGATAAAACATGAGTTAAACATGAAGTACAGATGAAAGAGAATGAAGCAGGCAGGACATATTGCATGCATGGGAAATACAAGTGGCTAATTGCATGTTACATGTCCTACCCATCAAATCCTCCTGAATTGATTACCACCACAATATCTGATAAAATTCTTCATTAAGTAATTATCTCCTTCCTCCTGCTACATAATGGGAACAGAAATAATTTTATTATTACCACATCTTCAACTGTGAAGAAGCCACTAGAAGTGCGACCACCTTCTATATAGGCAATATCTGTGTCAAAGAGACCAAGGAACTCATCTGACTCATCACCCTGTTCTTCCCGAATTGTTCGGCACTGTGCGCCAAGGTAGTTCCGCAGGTTAACAGCATGGATAGCAGCACATGCTCTTTTGTCCAACTGAAATAAATGAGACACAATAACACAGATGTTACGATGAAAATAAACTGAACATAGAAATGTCCTTCTGGAAGGACTACATTTACTAAAATCAAAATACATTAAAACTGAGATGATTATGCCCAATAAAAACATCAAAATTATAAGTTAAAAGTTTCAACTCAAACAATCTGCTGTTGAAGAAAAGCTTTTTCTCAAAATGCTGAAGATTACATTAAACAAAGTCAGGAAACAAAACACTCCACAAAACATTTGGGAGCAAAGTCAGAGAGTAATTCTGGGTATTAAATAACGATGAACTTCATGAAAAGTACATGCCATGCAGCATTGTTATGATAGTGAAATCTAGAAAGATGTGACGGCATGGACATGGGATTAGAATGGGAAGACCAGGAATGCAAAGAGAATTTTGACAGGAAAAATTGTTCACAAATGACCACATGGAATAACATGAAGCAAATGTGATAATCAGAGGTGGAGGCTGGCAGTTCAGGAGTGTATCCAACAGCAGACTTCAATATTAACAACATTTAATCTCCAAGTCTGTGGCGTAGGGATGTAGCGACCCCATCGCCCGATGGTATGCCACTACAATCAGCCACCCGAGTACTGGCAGGAAAACCAGAACTATAGAGGTGGTAGGAAATGACCAACCTCAGCCTCAACACAGAGGACGGCCAGCCAGATGGCTTAGGAGGCAGCCCCTCCAAACCTTGCAACGACTTGTTGGGCCAATCACCCACACTTCATTTTTAATATGATTCAGAGAAACAAAGATTGTTCGGCCGGACAGCTTCCATGGAGACGACATAGGCGAGGAAGGATATACGATTCAGAATTTTGAATATCAAGACTCTAGTAGGG